TTCTTTCTTTCTTTCTTTCTTTCTTTCTTTCTTTCTTTCTTTCTTTCTTTCTTTCTTTCTTTCTTTCTTTCTTTCTTGCTAGCTCTCTCTCTGCTTTGTGCTTCCCATACGCTCGAGAGTGGACCATTTACTAGAACATGGAGCTCTACCAGGAGGGACATTCTTAGTGAGGTCTGACTCCCCCTCGCTCAGAAGCCATCAACTGTCACTCCTCAGAGGCAGAGGGCTTCCGAGCCCCTTCCCACTCTATGCTGAAACACTGGCTGGCTTGATCTTGGGCAAGCACCCCCAGCTGCTTGAGTCCATGCGGACGGCAGTCCTGCTAGATCCAGAAGACACTGTTCTCCTCCCTGACTTCAGGCTCTTTCAAAAAAAAAAAAAAAAAAAAAACAAAAACAAAAAAAAACTGTTTTCCTTTCATTTTAAAATCTTATGTCTGCAGGTGTTTTTGCTTGCCTGGTATGCCTGTGCACCAGCTGCATGCCTGGTGTCTTTGGAGGCCAGCAGAGGGCACTGGGTTCTCCGGAACTGCAGTTCCAGATGGTTGAGCTGCCATGTGGGTGCTGGAAGCCAAGCACGCTGGAGGAACGGCCAGTGCTCGTGACTGCTAAGCCTCCTTCTGCAGCCCCAACCTCTAGAGCCTATCCACATGTTTTACACAGTTAGAGTCATTGGCCCCGTGGCTTTCGTGTATTGGTCACTGAACTGTTGTTCTGTATACGTATTTCCAAAGATGGACCCAACCCTGGAGGTCTAGGTTTCCATTGTATTAGCATTTTGCCATTTGATTAGTTAATTTAATATTCTTAATCTTATGGCCTATTACTACTACCCTCTTTAAAAAATATTTAAAACTGTCATAGTGATGCAGTTTTTACACAAGGAACTTTAAAGTAGAAATAACCTGGTCAAAATGCATGAAGAGTTTTGTAATTCACTGTGCATTTTCAGCTAGTGGTGCTTTGGAAAGATTAAACGGCATTACAATTCTTTCATCAAAGTACGTGCACTGTATTTGTTGTGCTATCAATATCCAGTATTATGGGAGTGGAGTAGAGGCTCTATTTAATTGCCACCTCCTCCTTTCACCTCTTTTTGTAAGAGGCCAAGCCTTGCTATGTAGCCTAGTTGGCCTGGAGCTCACGATAGACACCCTGAACTTGGAGGAACCCTCCTGCTGTCCTCATGAGCTTGCACCGTATACACACGTCACCATTCCTAGCAATTTCATCACTAGGTTTTTATTATTTTTAAATTATGATTTATTACTATTTATTGAATACAGTTTGCTTTCATTTTTATTTCCTCACTGAAAATAGAGTTTTAAAAAAACATAATATATTATGATCAAGGCTTGCCCTCTCCCAACTCCCCCCAGATCCTCTCTACTTCCCCTCCCACCCAAATCCATACCTTTTATTCTCTCTCATTAGAATACAAACAGGCATCTAAAAATAGTAATAAAATAAGGTAAAATAAAAACAAACAAACCAGAATAGGACAAAACAAACAAACAGAAGAAAAAAAAAGAACCGCAGAAAAAGCACAAGAAACAGATGCAGAGAACACAGGTACACACACTCAGAAATCTCATGGAAACACAAAACTAGAAACCATAATATATAAAGGATCTGTAAGAAACAAATAAATAAACAAAAAGCCTGACAAAAGGTTGTGATACAAAGAACCTCCAAAAACATCATCAAGTTCATTTTGTATTGGCCATCTACTTCTGGGCCTAAAATTACATTTTAAAATTGTGTGTGTGTAAGTGTTGCCTTCAGAGGCCAGAAGAGGAAATGATCCCCCAGAGCTGGAGCTACAGGCAATTGGGAGCCACCCAATATGGGGTGCTAGGAACTGATCTTGGGTCCTCTGCAAAAGCTCAATGTACTCTTAGTCACTGAGTTACCTCTTCAGCCCGGTCTTTTAAAGGAAAAAAAAGAAAAAAAAGCTTAATTGATTTTTATGTTTATTTTGTTACGTGTGATCATATGTGAGTGACTGTGTGAGGATGTGTGAGCGTGTGTGTGAGAGCACGTGTCTCGGTGTGAGTGACTGTGTGTGTGAGTGTACGTGTGGTCAGGTGTATGGGCACGTGCGTGAACGTATTTGTAGGTGGAGGTTAGAGAGCAACTTGTTTCAGGAGCTCGTTCTCTCCTTCCACCATGTGGGCCACAGATCACCAGGCTTGGTGGTGGGCACGGTTATTTACCTGCTGGCTCATCTCGCTGGCTCAAGCCTTGGAATCTTTATGCTATCTAAGTTAGTAGATGCACAGCTGGGTCTTAATATGACTTCAACTTGCTTCCAAGTGACCGTCCCAAACAGCCACTGCCATTCAATTCCTGTTAGGATATTAATTTTCACTAGGGAAAGTTGATGCTTATATATTTTTGTGCTTAGCCGGTAATTATGACAGAGTTTAAGCTAACGGCGTTGACCTATGCTTGCTTTCGGCATCTGAGAAATACCAACCTGTGAACTGAAATGCAGATGGGAAGAGGACGTGGATCCCAGCACTATGAAAATCGAACATGATGCCAAAGTATATTGCAATGCTTCCAAAAATCGAAAAGGCATTCACAAAAGTCCAGTAAGAAGTATCCAAGCCGATCTGTTGGGGGATCAGAGAACAGAGCACTCATTTGAGGAACTCAGCAGGAAAAGAAAGGCTCCAAGGACTCTCAAAATTTGGGTATGATTTGGTTCGAACAGTAAACAACCAGAAACCAAACCATCCTAGGCTCAAACAAGAAAGAGGAAATGTGCTGAAGATGAGGGGTGGAAAAACATCCTTATCTTGTAAATTGACAGAGGCTCTGACAGCAGGCTGGGTGTGCTAGCAAAAACAGGTACCAACAGTTACAGAATATGGTCCAGGGAAGCCACATACCTGAAAGTTGACAGTTATTACGAGAGCTGAGGCCATGGTGACGGCGAAAGACTGGTAGTCGGAAGGTGCCTCTCCGTCCTGTCCCACTGTTTGCAGATAAGCACCAAGTGGTATGAAGAAGAGGACCATCGACGTTAAGACCCCATGCAGCAAACTGACAAAGAATCTCCTGTAGTTGAACAGCAGGTCTCTTTGTCCCACTACGTACAACCCAGGGAACCGGAGGCTCAGTTTGTCGCTCACATCCTTAAGGAGAAAACAAAATTAGAATGATGAACTGTCGGTCAGGTCACTCAGCTCTAGCTCACCATTATTCTATATTTGCAGAGTGGCTATGGGGAATTTATCACTGTGCCAGCAAAGACAATCGATTAGTAATGTCAAAAAATACGAGGAGAGTACTTTCTAAGCTCCTGAGAGAATGTATTCGTATTATCACAAATCTAGAGGGAGAATTCTCACAGAGAGGCTGATAAGTTAATCCGTAATTATCCCCATTTATTCCTTATTAATTATCTCTTCCTGCAGAATCGCTTGTCAGGTGAAATGTGATTTAGGAATCAAAGACATAAGCTTTGGAAAGCATTAAGATTCACTTTTTAAATGAGTTGTCAATATAAATCTTGCCGGATTCTCAGGCGTCTGAAAGAAACACGTGGGCATTCTTGCACAAACTCGGTGAGTGACAGAAACTCTTTTTGAAGCAGAACATAAAGCAGCTATTGTTGCTTGTCAGGTGTACGAAAGTTTACTCAGGGTGAGTAAAGCCAGAGGAAGGCACTGATGCGCTTCCTGAAATCCCCCGGCAGCGGATGGGTCTTTCCAGAACCCCCCGCCCACGGCTCCTACCTGATCAAGCAGCCCCATGAGGAGCACGGGCAGACTGGAGTACAGCACGTTGTACAGGGTGATAAACCAGTCCTCATAGGCCGTCTGCAAAAAGGAGACAGAGGCTCTGCGTCACGCACAAAGACAGGTCACAGGTCTGCTGTCTCTGCGCGTGCCTATCTCCTGCTATGTGGGGATCTAACCTGAAGAGGAAACTGCTCTCAGCTACCCCTGTACACAATACGGCCTTGTCTATGCAGTGAGATGCCCCACAGACTTTTCCATAGCAACAAGCCCTTCCACTCGTCTACTTATATGTGTGTGTGGGAACACGACAAGGTTTGGCTAGAAGACTCTATTCTGACTGAGAATGCCAGGGGGAAAAATTCAGTGTTGATTTAAAAAAAAAAAAAGCCTTTATTTATATTTTAAAATTATGTGATGTGTGAACATCTGTGGATGGGTATGTGCACGTGAGTGCAGGTGCCCAAGAATACCAGAAGATGGCGCTGGATCCTCTGGGATGGGAGTTTCAGGTAGCGTGAACCACCTGATGGGGTATGGGGAGCTAAATTCAGGCCCTCTGCAAGAACAGTATGGACTCTTAACCTTGGGGCGCCTCTCCAGCCACGTTCATCATTTTTGTGCTTCTGTGTTAATGAGTTAGAGTTCTGAAGCTGAATTGGAATGTTTAAAACTTTTTTTTTTAATACTTAAAAGAAGTATACTGAAATAAAACTAGTTCAGGAGGGCTGGCAAGGTGACTCAGCCGGCAACAGTAATTCTGAGGTTAATCCCGGGAGCCCAGGTAAAGACAGAAGAGACTGACTCTCCAGAGTTGTTTCTCTGACTTCTGTATGTGCACTATGGCACATATGGACCCCCCCCAAACAGATATACACACAATAAACAAACAAACAAGCAAATGAAATGATTCGAGTAACTAGCGTCCTGTTTATGTAAACATTCCACTCAAAAGTAATAGTTCTAAAGAAACAATGCTATCTTACCTGCGCTGAGTAGCCATTGAAGAAGGAGTACCAGAAATGAACTAAAGTAAAGGCAAAGTTCTTGTAAAAGAAGTATCGGAGAAACTTGCACATCCTTATGTAAGACCACCGGCCATGGACCAGCAGCAACCTCTGCAGATATCTGAACTGAGCAAAAGAATAGTCACTGGACATAACAGCTTGCATTCCTTCTTGTCCACTTATTCCAACACCAATGTGGGCAGCTATGGGGCAGAGGGAAAAGAAATGGTGGGTCAGACACTGGTTTTAAGGCAAAGCATGGGGTGACTTAAGACTTTCGTAGTAAAACAAACAAAAACAAAAGCTCTTGTGTGCTTGCGCGCACGCACACACACATACACACAGTACCCCCACTTCCAGATCCTGATTCCAACTCACGGTCAGAGGGACAAGTATGCTAGACCAAGCACAGAGGAGACCCTATAAATACTTGTGGTGGGATCTCAGGTGGGTGATGAATTCCATTTGGATCATCCGCCCAATGTATCAGCCATCTCTTCCACCCCCAGGGAGAGCCCCGGACACCCTGATGGGCCACAGGTGAGTCAGCTGAATATCACTTATGGAAGATACTACAGAACCAGCCCTGTCAACCCCCATTCTCCCTTTCTCGAAAGCAGAGAAGGAAGGAAAGCTAATAGGCACACTTTCCCAGACTCTGCTGCAGTTGCTCTCATGGTGGTGTGGGCCCACTATTTAGATCCACTCATGACTTGGAAACTGAGGTGACCTGGAGCCTAGCATTTCCTCCCCTTTCTGATGTTTCTGGAGCAGAGCTCATATCCATTTTCAGCTGCCCAGATACTGATAGGTCACCACAAAGGTTTCTCAATTAAGAAGCTCTTCAGTGGAACCTAAAAGCCTCCTCTAGTGACCGGTCCAGAGGTTCTACTCAGCCTAGGAATTTCAGTCCATTAAAAGCTTTTGAAGGCACCTATAACCCTGTATTAGCAGGTTCTCTTTTCTGTACAGAACCCTAACTGATAGAAACTCTAGGCTTGGGCCAATCCACCTCTCTTTTTGGAATCCCAGAATTAGCAACTTAGGTGTGCTAGTGTCTAGAATTTTGCCATGTAAATTACATTAGTGTGGAATATATTTCTATTTTTTCTGAAGGTCTCTGAAAGACAGATAGGCTGGCAGGCAGGCCGGCTGACCAACAGGCATTGGGCTCCTCTGGAAATTTTAGGTACTGAATCCAATGTCTTTCTGAAGCCTAGCTTCTTAGCCAGAGTGAGGCATCTTTACATATTTTTGATTGTTTGTTTGTCTTGTTTTTTAATTGCTTATATTTTGAGATTTCTGTCTCATGTAGTTCATGCTTGTTTCTGACTCACTGTAACTAAGAATTGCCTTGAACTCTTAATCCCCCTCCCCCAAGTCTCCATATCCTGGTGAAGTTCTGTTCTACTACGCCTCGTTTATGCGGTACTATGGATATCACCCAGGGCTTTCTGCATCAGAGGCAAGGACTCTATAAATGGGCCTCCATTCTCCCTTTGTATCTTTTTTTTTTTTTTTTTTTTTTTTTTTTTTAGTGAAATGCTTTTCTTAAGCCAGCTTTGTTTGTCTTCTAATATTCCTAGTCAAAATAATTTTAACTGATGTTTTCTTCAGATCACAAAGGCCCACCGTGGCTTTAAGATACTTGAATGCACGTATATATGCACGCATGCATACAGGCACTCACGCATGCACATAGGGTACATGCATGCACACACATGCTGCAAAGAAGGTTTCCAGAATCATATTCATCCTTCTAATAGTTATCAAATACATTTTCAAGTTAGAGAATCCAGAATTTTGTTCAGGCCATAAAAATTAATGTGAACAAAGACAGTGAGGTCTTTTAGAGAAACTGTTGGAGAACACAAGCGACCATCACTCTAACCCGAGGAAGTGCCTTTACAGCCCACAGTTTCTAGATGAGAGGAGCTTCGAAAAGCCTGCCCTGCTTTCAGTCTGAAGTGTGGAAAATTTAAAGCATGACTACAGGAAATTGTCCAGGCCTGTGTTTTCAATTATCCTTTGTAGCTAGAAAGAAAGAAAGAAAGAAAGAAAGAAAGAAAGAAAGAAAGAAAGA